AGCATATTTCAAGCTTGGGATAATAAAATGTTGAAATTTAATAAAGGTTTCATACCGGTGCCGGAGTTTTGTTGGCATGAGGCGTATGATTTGGTATCAGTTGACTGGTTTCGTCAACAGGAGGTGCTGGCATATGATTGACTCCACCAGCTGCCTTAGCAGCAGCAACTAATCCACGAAGGCCACCACCGAATAGACCACCGCCACCAATCTGAAAGAACAAATTTTTCTGTGACAACATCTTATTTTCACGTTTCGCGCATAACAGCAAGCAAAGTGAAAAACTGGGCAGGAGGAAGGAAGAAGGTTGGGGGAAACAGGGAGGGATGACCGGGCGAGGTCAAGCGTAAGATGGTAAATTTCCAACTGAGGGAGTCATATCGTACAGGTACCGAAAGATCACTGAGAATGTGACGAGACTATTCTTCTCTGCGGATAAAAGCTTAGGCTGCGTTCATACTTTGCGGTAGCGTCTACCAGCGTCCACTAGCGTTCCGAGCGTCCGGCAGCGTCAGCGACTAGGAAAGTATAGATATCGATCTAGCGTCTGCCAGCGTCCACCAGCGTCTAGCAGCGTTCACCAGCGACCGGAGAGTAGAGAGTATGGGGAAGTAGGAGGGTAGCAAACAGCTGGATTAGGCGTCGTGAAATCGCGGTGTTTACAACCGCACCGCACAACTGCTAGCACAGAATTATGCAATCTGACGTACGGTCCTGAGAGACGCTGGCAAACACTGGATGAATTTCTATACCTTTCTAGCCGCTGACGCTGCCAGACGCTCGGGACTCTAGTGGAAGCTGGTAGACGCAGCCGCAAAGTATGAACGCAGCCTTATCAAACACCTGTCGTTACCACTGTACGCTTGACCCTGACCGGAAAATACAGCGTAACAAATGAGGTGATGCTGAATAGGAACACAAAAGGATGTGGGCTCGGATGTTCGATTTCGCGGCAACCGCTGCTGTTGCTGCTGCTGCTGGACTCGATCCTGCTCATTTTTTTTTTTTTTTTTTTTTTTTTTGTTTTTTTTTTTACTTGCTGCTGCCCGCACTATCAGACGAGTCTGCCCACTTGAACGTAGCGTTACGACGTCGGAGCAGTAAAAGCGCAGTACGTGATTTCTTACGTAATTCCAGCTAAACTTCACTGGCTTATGCCCTCTGATTCAGAACAATTGTCTGAATGATAACAATAAACCAATTAAGAACATATCAATAAACGCTTGAAAAATCTAAGCAGCTCTCACAATGGTCTGACTACGCGCGCGCAAAAAATCAATATTCTCTTTCGAAGTTGTCTAGCGAAGCGCTTATTAGTGTGATAGGCTAACGAACTAAAAAATCATCTATGTGATGTATCAATAACGAGGAACTCATGAGACAATACCGAAATGCTTTTAGTGAGGAAGTCCACTAAAGCTCACCTCAGTTCCACTCTTCTTCGCTCGATAGTTTTCCAGAATAAGTAGACCAGCGTAGATCTTTCCTACTGTCAGCTTTTGGAAGCAGAGCTCTGAAAACATTGAATAAGCATAATTCTGACTGGCTAACTGAGTTACAGGCAGAAGACTTCGCTCCATTTACGAGTCGAACCTGCTCATCACGGTTACCGAGCCAGTAACTAACAATTACCACCGACTTATTGTAATTGAATTTTTCACTGAATATGTCACTTGAAAACGTCAAATTGAAGTTCTCAAAAATATCAATTTTTTTCCCCTCGCTAATTCGTCTTATCAAATATTATACGCACCAGGGTAGGTATTGACCATAACAACTTTCTTTGGGCACGCTAACAGCTGGTAGGGAGAAAAAAGTGACCCCCTCCTCCGGAGCCCCTTAGGTTGCGTTTATAGCCTGCGGCAGCGTCCACCAGTGACCAATAGCGCTCATCAAAAAAAGTCCGGCACCGTCAGCGAAAGTATAGATATCGATTTAACGTCTGCCAGCGTCCACCAGCTACCAGCAGCGTCTGGAGTGGAGAGTATGGGCGATAGGAGGGTAGCAGACAGCTGGTACCCTCCTATCGCCCCATACTCTCTACCAGCAGTCTGCTGCTGGTCGCTGGTGGACGCTGGTAGACGCTGGCAGACGCTAGATCGATATCTATACTTTCCTAGTCGCTGACGCTGCCGGACGCTCGGAACGCTGGTG